AGGTGTGTGTAGTGTAGTGTTATATTGTGTTGTGTAGTGTAGTGTTATAGTGTTGTGTTGTGTGGTGTAGTGTGGTTCTTTACACCACTCTGAGTTCTTTTATTTACTGTGATCCATCTGAAACTTGATGGCTTTTAGAAACGCCCTGTATGGAAACACACTGGGATTGAAAAAGCAGCAGTGTGAAGTCTGTCATTATTAAGGAATCAGTTTGCTGCTGTGATTTCAATGTGTTACAATATGTTTACAGCTGTTCTCACTGTGATTTGATGTGAATGACATAACCAGTGTTATTGTGTAAAAATAAAACCTGTATTAAATTTGTAGGTATTAACAGAATGTAAAATTATCTTTTTTGCCAAAGACCAATCCCGATATGTGGGAGTTTCTCTATGGGAGAGAAATATAGACAGTCACACCTCTAAAATGTATGGAAAAATCTTTCAAATTGACTCCGTATTAGGAAGCAATGTAACAGAATATGGATTTATATTTAACATACATGTCAAATTGTATTTGACTGTGAAATTATGAGATCTCTTGACTAAGAGCAGCTGAGCTCAATATATCAGTTCTGTTAATTCATTGTTTTATGTATCATAACTCATCATGTGTAATTGTTCATTTTTACTGCTCATTGAAGTGATCAGTGATTTACCACAAATGTAATTCTGGGAGAAAGACACTCACCTCTCACACCAAGGTCAATAACAGCTTCATCATCCATCTGTTCCGAAACAACCAAGCATGTGTACTGTCCATGGTCAGAGCGTCTCACATCTCTCAGTGTTAAAGACACATTGCCTCTGTGGAGCTCCTGCAGGAATAGACCAGCCCTGTCCCTGTAGGCTGGGTTCTGTCTCACAAGGTTATACTGGCCTGATTTATATAAACACACCGGGGCTGTGTAATCCTCTCTAAACCACCTGATCTGTAGGTCTGCAGCACTGATGTCTGGTGAGAGGTAACAGGGCAGGACAGCGTCTTCACCAGGGGACACAATCACAGGAGCAGCTGGACCTCGAACCTCAAACCTCACTGAAAGAGAAAGAGCACAGCTGACATGAGTCTTCAACCTCAACACAGACAAACACTCTGAGACAAACTGTAGACTCATCACTGGCAGAATAAAGCAGAGCAGCTCAGTGACACACAGTGTTTTCTACAAACAGCCCATCACTGATTCAGACCGACATGTGACTGAGGAGCACTTAAGATCAGTGAGTCTCATCTCACCATCTGCTCCTCTTCCTCACACCAGTGTTTCCCAAACTGGGGTCTGGATCTCTCACCCAGGACCCTCAGATCCTCACCTTCACTCCCTGATAGCAGAGCTGTGACTGTGTTCACTGAGGGTCTGTTACTCTGCAGTTACGCTGGGGTTCAATACTTCCCACACAATCTGAACCCACATACAAATGGGGCACATGGATTGTAGTCATGGATCTGACTGATTCATTGTTTTATTCAGGAGTTTTTTAAAACACAAATGAAGATATTCTGCAATATCTAGACACATAATCCAGAATGGAGATAAACTACAGGCAAGATCCAGTCCGTCTCCTTCTACAAGTGTCAGTTGTAACATCTCCCCATGTTTAACAACCACATGTTGTTCTGTGTGGTGTTGGGTCACTCCAGGACTCCCTCTGTAAG